GTAATTAAAAGTACATTAAAGCTATCTACATCTTTCATTACTAAAAAAACTACAATTCCTGTCCATTTACTCAATAAAGATAATTCATGTGTGAAACATGACATGAGCAATGAGCAGGTATGCCAGCTTCGCTACGTTACTTTAATTCTGTGCGAGAGTGGAATGCCTTACAATTCTCTTGTAACTGGGACAAACTAGCTATATCTAATGAAAATTACAAATTGTATCTGTAACACACATTCGATATTGATTACTTCTACGTAGTTTTACGAATTTGATAATATTATATTAAAAATGTACTATTTTTGAAGTTGCAGAAATTGTGTTCTTAAAACCACATTTTCAATACTATCACGTCCCATTTCCAGTAACATCTTGATGGAACTGCTCGTCCCCTTTGAAGGCTCTTGAAAGGCCAAATGAAATGAAAAAAAGCTAATAAATAATTCAACACATGGTTAGGAATACAAAATTGCAGTACTGAACCACGGGCAATCGATCGACTGCCGTAGCATTGCATGATGGTAATTTCGTCTAATGCGGCAAAATGGTGCAGTCTGGAATATTTATTCATTCAGGCATAAATATTGCTTGTATTATATGGTAATTAAGTTAAACGTGATCGGAATAAGTACCACGTGCAATTTACTCTAGTAAAAAAGACGTGGCTAATGACTTGAAAATTGTAGACTCGATATAAAAAATAATAGTGCTACGTAGAAATAAAAGATCAAAGAAAATAGTACTATCTGTTTTAACCGAGTCTTCAACCTTCAAATTGACCGTGCAACAGTATAACGAAAATAGAAATAGTCCAAACAAAAAGGTCAACTTTTAAGTTCACGAAAAAGACCTTTTGACAATGAGGCATTGATAAATAAGAAACGCCTTTATTTCAACCGTCCTTGGTATGACCGAAGAAAATATCAATTAGGCACTCGAGAACCTTTCAAGAATGTTAGAATTAGAAATTAACGTTTCCATGGAAGTGCCAAAGTCGATACATGTACGATGACGAATAGTATTTTCAAATATCCTTGTAATTATGGACGATGAATAATACTAATTCATGACTAAGTTACTACACTCATATCAAGCTAAGGACTGATCTGAGTATGTAATGACAACTTTGAAAGTCTATGAATCATAAACATTTGTTTAACACGAAAATGTTTATAGCAAAGCCCTCAAATTCTGAGGAAAATGAAAAAGTATCCATTTGTAAATGTTTACGCGATACAAATTAAGATTTGCAATACCAATGACATCATTCAGATATTGGATACAGAAATAGAAATAGATTCGCTTTTATGCTGGGATATAAATAGGCTCATTGTAGTCAGTGAAGAATGAATGTGGTCTGATATTATATGTTCGTTCTTCAGATACCGTTTCACGGATATTTATTATTTTGATCTGATTCAAAATGCCATTTCTGTAGGATTCGTGTAACTTCATATAATAAGATACGAGAGAAAAGTAATATTTAGAGGACAAAGTTCCATCAAATTCCCAAGAATTCTTAAAATGTCTCCAAAGAGATAATTATCTTAGCTCATGAAACTACTATCAAATCCTTTTCACATTTTTCGTTGAAGCATACAATTCCCAAAGGATGCAATCTTTATAAAATTGAAGCTTTAAAGCCAAAGATACTTGAACATGTGCACAGCAAAGGATTTGAACGCACGTGGCTTGGTTCATGCACCGTCGTATTATTAGATCGTGCTACGGCCAATGTCTTCGAGTGTGGAATACGGCTATTTTTACTGTACCATGCGGGGGACGGTCGCTTTTAGATGCCTCTAGCGATGTTACAGCTTCGTTAAAGTTGGATTTAGATATATTTTACGCTTTTATCAACATTTAACAACCGATCTTTTTGTAACAGATTATAAAACTTCTTTGGGCTTCACACTCGTATTGTTTGTCAGTTGGAATTTCAATTACTTCGTTTCTCAGCCATTAATCGCTCCGAATGATCTATTTTAATTGTAACTCGAGTTCTACATCCCGTATTTATTACGTGCGATTTCCAACCGACTACCACAAGGTCTGCGACTAGGTCAAGGCGAAACAGCCGAGTCTAACATTACACATTATTGTTGACTAAACAACTCTAGACCGAGCCCATTTGATCCTGCAATAAAACGTTACTCATTGAACCGAGAACCACCTGTACAAACAGAACAAAATGTGTAGAACAATAATTATACCTATGTTATTTAAATGTATGGTAAAATTACGTTTGCAACGCGAAGCCCCGACCTCAGATAAAAGATGATAACATTCCCAGTGACTCATGAAATGACATTTACCCTCGAGAAATCAAATAAGTCTTTATGGTTGTCGGAATATGATTTCATTTTGTATGTGGGTAGTTGGAAATTGTGTGAAAGGTGCCTGCCATTCTACGATACAGTTTTGAAGGAGGTTTGATATTTCCTTCCTTTTGTGCTATCGATATGTCTCTCACATAAACAATCTTTGTACAGGTTTTTGCTGACTCATAGAAATGTGAATGAAGACGCTATCTTGCAAGCCGTTTACGAACTGCACGAAATGATTATAATGAAAACAGTTTTGCAACGTAATCCTCTTTAAATATTTATTTTCACATCTTTAGTAATTTGGAGTACAAATAAAGCTTCTTGAACAATAATACTGATCGTATTTAATTTGCAAGTGAAAATAAGTTAGATAGTATCCTCATTTCACATTTTTATCAGTAAATTCAAATAGACATTCGTTTCAAAATGCTACAATGCACTCTTAGTCAAATAAAATGTAGATCAAACTGCACCAGCCTTGTGGGTTAATTGAAATAGAACTGAATGAAATGCGACAACAGCTGCCTCCGTATATAACGGGGATTATTTCTGACTACCCTCATTATTGCGTAATTTATTTAGCAAATACCCGCGTCTCTGAAAACATTAGTGAGACGCCATGCTGAACAATTTATTAACGTTACAAAGAATAGCGCTTAGACTTAGCTGATGAATGTAGTAGAAAACGTCCTTTAATCTAGTTTATATCTATAAAGAATTTAGACCAACGTATTTAGTGTAGTGTTTATCAAATTAGATTATTGTAAATGTGCAAATGTGAGTTAATGCCGTTGCTAAAGTAAACCGTTATAGCAGAACGGTGAATTATTGTAATAGCTTTTTCGAATATGAGTATTTGATACAGTTTTCTTTGCGTAGAAAACAATATTTTGTTCATTTGCTTTTTATAAGACCATAGATGAGCAAATGGCAATGCGATCTATTTTCAATGGAAATAGACAATACTAATAAGGAGTTGCTGTACGGAGTCTGGCATTACTCCTGTAAATTCGCTTTTAAACCAGCTCTGTTTTAAACTGTCAAACACCAACCGGTCACCGGTGACCGCAACCTATTGTTCTATAATTGTGTCTATAATGACGGTACTCGACGAGTTAAAGAATAAAAATGTTACGCAAAGTGGGCGTGGCCACCCATTAGCGTTAAATAAGCCTGTCACATTATCACGTTCAAAATACTAAAACGAAGACCAACAATTGCTACAAATCTTGGCTATCTCTACAACGCTCAAGAATCCTCATTAACGTCTTAACTTCTAAATGATGTACCTAGTTCACGTCAGAACTCTGAACATTTTAAACATATCTATTTAAAATCCGTTGGCTGACCGCCTGAGACAATGTGCACCCATTCCGAACCTATTGACAAGTTCCGTTCGTGGGATCCAAGCGCACAGGAAATGTTGCTGAATGTGTTGAATTTAAACGGCCATTTTGTTAAATTATATTTCGGAAGTAGAATTTCTTGGTATCCGTTCTTTGGTGCCGGCTTTTCATTTGATAATAGTTTCTTAATTATGTTTAGTAGTGTGATCTAAAGGCGGGCTGAAAATCATCGGCCGTATCGGCTGCTGACTAAATACAAACAAACCTTTAACTAAAAAAAAAATTTTTGAGAAACATCCACGCATCTAATTATCTGTGTGTTCACCTGTCGGTGATAAAATTAAATGCTTTTAAGTTCTAATAGATTACCTAAAATGTAGCCTGTAGGTCCTACATGATTTTTATCAATAGAAGCGGGTGATTCTTGAGAATGGTGATACCGAATAAATTAATAAAATTTTAAATGAAGTGGATAACCTAATGAACCAATAATTTATTTCAAATCGATACTACGAACTGTGAACGATCGGTCCATTATTTAGTACGATGCTCTAATCTTCGAAACATCTTCTTGATCTCACCGTGACGCTGGCAAGAGTCCAGGGAACGCCCCACTTGTAATTGATCGTGCATTCATCTGCAACTAGCACATTCATGCATTGCTTAGCTTTGGTACAACAAAACCAAATATTACACTCCACTTCTGCATAGGAACAGGAACATAATGCCAATAGAATGTGAAATTAGTTCGTAAACAATATCTTTAAATATTAAGAGAGATTTTCGTGGAGAAAATGTAATTAAACGGCAAAAGAATTCAACGGCTCCGATATTAAAGGATTCTTCAATCTGGAACGCTTGTCTCGCTTGCGATCTCAAATTCTTCGCTAAGTCGAATATTTTGAGAATAATGTTCCCTGTTGTTCGTTGTTCCCGGCTTCTGATTAAAAAATAAATAATGAATTTTAGATTAAAGACAGGATAGGTAGGAAAAGAAATACATACATTACGACTCGTAATTCACGATTCAATTGTACATAATTATGTAGTATGAGTATAATGACTAGTTATAATTTAAAGCCCACAGCATGGAATGTAAAATCCTTGTTTCCCTCACTATGTAAATTGAACAGATATCTATTTAATTTAGTTCTAACACCCTATTTAGTGACATTCTTCGAAGGAATTAGCTGGGCTAACTTACAAGTCACACTGGAAAAGGTTGCATTTCACTCATACAGCAATACTCCTACGAGGAATACCAGACTTACTTTGTTTTAAAAGAGTGTACTCTTTATATTAATCTTCTTTGACTTCTCCACAGGCGTCTGGTGTGACAGTTTCGGACGCGTGCAAAACGACGTACGAGGAGATCAAGAAAGACAAGAAGCACCGCTACGTGGTGTTCTACATCAGGGATGAGAAACAAATTGACGTAGAGACCGTCGGAGAACGCAACGCGGAATACGATCAGTTCCTTGAGGATCTGCAGAAGGGTGGCACTGGAGAGTGCAGGTAATTTGTGCTTTTATTTGTGGGAAGATGGTTTAGTTTCGCTTGCAGAACTTTTGGCTAGTTTACCGATAAAAATGCCGCCCTGAAGTGTTCTGGATCCTCACAACGTTATTTGGAACAAATGTTATAGCCAATAGTTTAAAATCGTGATATTATGTTATGTAAAAATCGCTCGGGGAAAAAAGACAAGATAAACGCGCGAGCGATTTAGTTTTTGAAAAAGTTACTATTCCTTGGACGGTAACTGATTTCTGTTAGACGGACACTAATAGTTAACACTGAAATCCTTTTAATTTGCTAGTAAAGGGTAACACTAACTTTATCCCACTTGTCTTCCAGATATGGCCTCTTCGATTTCGAGTACACGCACCAGTGCCAAGGCACGTCGGAGGCCAGTAAGAAACAGAAGCTCTTCCTCATGTCATGGTGCCCCGACACCGCTAAGGTTAAGAAGAAGATGTTGTACTCCAGGTAAATATCATTCATACATTCTTTAAATGTCAGTTTCGCTTTTTTATGAAATGGCCAAAGAGATAATGTATGAATGGCTTCTAGATGTGTGTACGATGAGAAGTCGTAGTCGTATCATTCTTCAATTACTAGGTATTTATTTTAGCTATTCGATAAACTTACCCCTATTGCAACCGTCAATAAAATTCGTTGCTTAATAAATGAAAATAGCTACTATTTCAAAACTAGATTCTAGTTTTTACTCGTTAAACTCACTTTACGCGAAAGAAAAGAAACGATAATCATGTTATGACTTTAATCTTGTCCCTGCACTCATCATTGCTCGCACCATGACAGAATCACTAAAGATAATGCAACCGTCTATAATCTTACACGGTTTCCGACGTTCCAGCAATAATCGGACGATAAAACAGACAGTCCTTGCATACAGCTGCCAAAAAACACGATATTATATTTAGAAAGACGTTAAACTTCGTGGAACAGAACGGAAATATTGTTTAGTAGTTGTTACAGTAATCAATTGGGTTGTGAATATGTTGTAAGTGGTTATGATTAAGTTTTACCTTTTCTAAAAACACGGACGATGATCGAAGTCCCGAAAAAAACAAGTCTTGTACTACTAAAATTAGTTACTACAAATTACCAAAGAAATTCAATTAAATACACACAATCAAACTAGTTTTGATAAAAATCTATTCATATCATTGTATCGTGGTTATCGACATAATCTTATTAAAAGAAAAGTGCAATATAAGTGTGTACGAAAGTACTAACTATACACTACTTACGAATTTGTTTCAAGTGTCATGTTAGATTGGCCAGAATCGAATTATCAAATACGAAAGGTCTGATCAGCTCCGCTAGACAAAATGATAAAAGATGCTGCACTCTGTAAAAAGAATAGATGGCAAAAAGATTACAGTAGTTAGAATTACGTTTGCGAAGTCTTAATGCCACTTATCTAGCTTGGTTAAATTATCCACAAAAGCTCTTAAGATTTATCATTTTTCATAAACTTAGCAATTCAATTAATTTACCGTAGTTACAATGCTTTTCGACCGCGCCCTACGCTTGAAATATTCGGTGACGCATCCCACCACATCACGTTTACCGCGAACAAGATATCCTAATCGACAGATAACTTATATCTGGAAGTGCTATTTGTAAATGATGACGTAGTTCGTATTACGAATGTCATGCTGTACTGGAAATTATTTCTATTGTTTTCCACCTTTCTCTGTACTTGAGTTCTTTAGATAAATGCTGTTGATAATGTTGGATTCTTTCATTCAATGTTTGAAAGACGCAATTAACAGTTTACGAAATATGTACTCTGAAATTTAATCGAATAGGCACATGTTATTTTACGAAGACCGTTAAAAATTGAAGGTTATGCTATAATACGTTCTTTCGTTTGTCTCCAGCTCTTTCGACGCACTGAAGAAGTCGCTGGTCGGCGTTCAGAAGTACATCCAGGCGACCGACCTCTCGGAGGCCTCGCAGGAGGCTGTTGAAGAGAAGCTGCGCGCCACCGACCGCCAATAAGTCAGCATTTATCGCCACGACCGACGTGCGGTGCACCGCGACTCCTACGGAAACAACCTTAACCGCCACAGCCCGTCCTCATGCAGTAACACACCGCACGAGCAGTGTGCCACTACACGAGGCCTCACGCTGTGGCCTTAGTCAGTATTGTCAGGCACAGCTCGCGGTGCGACCCACAGTTTCGCATGGGTTTTTTTTATATATCGTTTCAATCCTTAAGCTTTTGCAGTCGATTCTACTCCGGAGCGGCCTCACCGGTCAGTCGGTAGTCGGAACTCTGTACAGTTAACTGTAACCCATGGCCGACTCCGCGACAGCCTCTATAAGCAATTAAGGAATCTTTATGTAATAATTTAAATTATACTAATTATTATATATATTTTTTCCTATAATTAACTAAAGAGTAAGTTAGCTCAAACTAAATTTAAATACAGCGTACGCGTCGATCTTTTTTTAAATGTAATAATAAAACTGGTTAGCGAACGCCGGTCGGCTTTTATAATATTTAGTTAATATAAATAATGTACGATTTTATACGGTCACCTAGTTTCGTTTGAGATTCATCTTGCTAAGGATGTAAGCTTTTGAGCTGCGGCTCGATACATGGCGGGCGTTGGATAAGTATTTTGTAACCGATTTATCCAGAAATACACTCGATATAAGAGAACATTAGTTGTTTTATTTGTTATTCACCCTTGACAATGTCGACGTTTCCGGTGTACGGTGTGACGCATCGATATCGGCATATCATTATAATGATTAAGTTGAAACGGAATAAATATCAATTTAAGGAAAATTATACCTCAATTGAGCGACTGAACTACATCATTATTGAGGGAAAGAAGGGAAGATTATAAATGCAAAGCAATTAGCTTTGCATTTATAATCTCTTGACTTGGCAACAGCAAGAAATCAATTTATTATAATCCTTTGCTCAATTCAATTACCAGATTGAATTAATCAACAAATGCTGCACATAGAATATATCTTTTCGAGCTTCAAATAACATCAGTCGAACCTTTCTGTTGGCGCAATGTAGTACCTAGCTGATTGTGTAATTTATTATATTTTGGGGAATATTCATAGGTACAGAGAAAAGCTCTACTAGTTTCGAACCCGACGGGTTCTTCCTCATGAGCAGCGTGCGCGGTCGCGGCGATGTCGCCGGTAGTATGTCTCGCGGTAGTTATTATAAAAAATATTCACAGTATGTTCATTTCTTACAAAGGCAACACTATTTTCTCCAACTTCAATAAATACAATTTTTATTGTACCACTACCGACGTATAAAATGTTGGTAATTGTTCCTCAAAAACTTCCTCATTAGTCGAGTGATCACAGAACTACCTCAATGACGGTAGTTGTAAGGGCGACTATCAAGTGTTCGAATCTCGGGTTTGGTAAGTATTACCTAGTGAACTTTGACAACTTTTTGAAAATGTTCACGGAAGAGTCCGGAAATACACCTCGTACAGGGTGTGTACTAACATCATAATTATTTTAAATTATACCATTAGAAGTAGACGTAAGGGAAAATTAATAAAACACGTAATTCAATGATATTTTAAAACATTTATTAAAACACATCGTGGCAACAATATGTATTGCTATCACACTATCTTCTATCACAAATGAAATCTTAACTACAATCAAAGTAGTAAGTTTTCAAACATTAAATACGCTGACCACGAAATTTTGATATCCTTTTATTGCTGTAACATGACCGAGGTAATCATTATAATTAAATTTTACTTAATAATTATCAAATGTAAATAATTTCTTAGTATTTTATTCAAATTACAACTTTGAATTAGCATACATTTTTACCTCGATTCGGTATTCAATTTAGTAACATGGCAACTTTTAAAATATTTTCCGTATTTTCTGACGATTTTATTTTTATTTAATACGTAGAATTTTATCTCTGATTCTAAAAAATATTTAATGAACACTTAACTCCATAATGTTATACTAACAATATCCAGGGATAAAAATTCATATTTATATTTTAAAATGGGCGTAGCTCGGATAGTATGTAGATTTGGGCAGTGTCTTTACATTTTATTGTCAATTAAAGGTCTCTTTCACAATTATTATACTTAAGAAACTTATTTGTATCATTTACAATATGCTATCAACCTTGCTACGCCCTGTGTGATGTAATATAATATATTTTTATGATTTAAACATAAATAATATTAAGACAATATTTCGTTATTGTCAGCACTGACCACGTTTGTATGAGTTATTCAGTTAAATATTTATTGTTATGTAATGGTTATGTATACGAATAATATGTATTTTTAGTAACATTTCATATTCTAGGATTATAACTTAGACATAATAAACTTTGCGGTAAAAAAGTTCTTATTGATAGATTTAAAAAATCTAGAATGATTGATTTAACATTTTTTATTTTAGTTCAACAAAAGCAGAGACTTTATTTATTCGATATTATTGAAATCTAGTGGAATCAAATATTGATTAGGTACTATTTATTTGTTACAATTATGACACCATGAATAAAACAGTTATCATTGTGCGTATAAGTCGCCACTGCTTTTGCCGACCTCTCTTTAAAATACAGGCGTAAAGTTTCAAAAAAATAAAATCACAAGCTTGAAAATTCAAAAAACTACGGCATTTATCTAACAATATTTTAAAATTGATTAGATTTATTTAACTTTTTAAACATACATTAAATTTCTTATGTCAACACTAAACCACTTAATATTATTAAAATTCCTTTTTTATGAATCACATTTAATTTGAATTATATTTAGGATTAAATTGTAAATGCCTTTCTTGGGAGATAATTATACTGTTCTGAATTATTCAGGGTTACAGTATCTACATTATGCTATTAAGATATGAATAATAAGAATTATTTTATTTATAACATTAAGAAGACACAATTCCTCATTACAGTTGGCCCTAAGAACTTTCCTCATCCATTAAATCTTTCTTATAGGTAGTTATTTTTTAAGAAATTAACCGTTACTCGTTTCAAAACTATAAGAGTAAATATTTATTTGCCAATCGCCTTGAAGATATCTTTACTCAAATCGTCTCTCATTGGTTACAAATAGGAAGAACTGTAGACTCAATATTCATAATTAGTTTTGTTCTTGTTTGCAAAAAATGCGGGCACAATAAATTCAAACATTGCAGCATTTTTTGCTACTAGTACCTACCTATGAATGATACCAGAGCAAATTAACACCTACTAAATAGTAGAAATTATAAATAAATTATACTAGAATACCAAGCTTAATTTTAATCTGTTTCACAGCGAAAGGCAGGGATTTTCTTAAATTCAATTATTCCTAAGAACTATACATTCGCGATGAAAACAAAAGTTTCATTCATTTTCATGAACTGTATACTAATTTAATTCCACGGAAAAAAAAATAAAAAAGACGTTCACAAAGTCACAGCTAAAGACCTTATTAAAGGTCTTTGGTCACAGCTACCTTAATAATAAAATTATGGTCTTTCAAAACCCTATCCTAACCCATAACGACGGCATATTACATACAGAGGCTTTGTTGTGTTTTTGTATTACACCCTTTTTAACAAATAATACGCAAACTTGAATTTTTATTGACCAAAATGTGATTGAATGAATCTCATTTTTCTGTGTAGCCATTTGGGCCTCTGTGTATCCAGACGGTCAAGTTACAATCCTGTCTTTTAGCTCTGCACTGAAAACCAGTGAAGCTAGTTGGTTACCTTTGAAAGCAGAAGATCTGCCAATCGAATTTCGCACGTGTTTCATAACACGCAAAGTCATTACTGTGACTGAACTGATTAAACCAGCGTGTGGCATGTGACTTAAATACTGATAGTACTTATAGTGTCCGCTGGTGCCGGTGTCACAATTGGTTGCTGGATTGTTGGGTCCAGTAACGGAATACTGTCAGTAGTCCTGTGAACAAAAAAATATTTCTTTGAAGTTTTCATTTAGTTATTCATAAAAACTTGAACGCTAAGTCTAAATTTTAGACATTGTAATAAGGTATTTCGTATAATATACACTCACCTATTTCTAGTAAGAGTTGGTTCACTGATGACGGCCTCACAGCATGGCGCTGTGGTTTTCGGACGCACGATCGGCAACGTTGTACATATTGTCGTAGTTAAGTATATATACTGCAAATAAAGTAAGTAAATTCAAGCTTCTTTTTTGGTCATCATTACAAATAGATGGTTCAAATAAGCGTTCAACACTAACCATAACAACGACAAGTATCAAATAAATCGTCGGAGTAGACCAATGCGCCGCATTCTCAATAGCTACAACTCCCATGACCCAATTGATGGCAAAGAATGGTTCCAATACAAGGCACAAGTTCAGATAGGTCTTCAGCTCATTGCCTTCAGTGTTCCAAGTCCACTTCCAAGAGATATTGTCCATGTATAGCATGTTTAGGAGGCTCTTGTCGTGCATCGCCTTCGCAGCTTGAGCTAAGTTGGGCTAAGATTGAACATGAAGAAAATATTAGTTTAAAACAGTTAAAAATTACTGTTCCTTGTATATTTTTCTAATAATAACTTACCTCACTCCCAGTTTCACCATTTTCACCAGGTATTGCGATGTTCACGTAATGGCAATCGTCTTCGCTTCCATTGTAATCTTTGTCAAGGGTCTCAGAACTATCCGTGTTCTTCCTACTACTGCCTGGAGTGTAGATATTATCTAACGTATCAATACTGCCATTTTTATCATCCATTGGGCCACCATCAGTTTTTGGCCAATTAGCTATGTGGTGGTCCACTAGCTCCTGTATTTTCGCTGTTAACGTTTCCGCCTGCTTCTTATTAACGCTTTGTAAGCCCAAAATTATTATGGCTGTGTTTATTAAGATGAGGATCATTGCTGGGACCATGAAGCCCATAACCATGCCTTTTTCGATGGACATCCAGCAGTAGTGTTTTATTTCATAGTGCTCCATTGAGAGAGCGTAATTGAACTGAAAAAAGACCAAAAGCCATCAATAAAATACAAGGATTTTACCGACATAGCTATAGTTAAGTAATAGATTTCTGTGTAAGATTATAATGCTATTCTTACCATGACAACAACAGCAGGTACTCCATAGGCCAGCAGATAATTATACTTCAGTGGCAACAGAGTGTCACAAGCACAGTACTCCGCCACGGCAGCCGCGAGTGCTACTATCCACATAGCACAAGAGACGTGCGTATAATGTAGGAGGAGGGCTATCCTCTCACATTGAGAGGGAGATGATACCCCCTGAGGATGGATTGAGGTATTAAAACTTTGTTCATTGCATTGATGCTATTATTTTAATTAAAATAGAAAAGACAGCTACGTCGTCGTTCTAGAGTTAGATAAATTATCACTTGATTTTCTGGTGTAAACAACTAATAGAAATAACAAATTACTCTCTTTCGAAAAATATTACGTGAATACTATCATTTTTTCACTCACCATCACAGCCTGTATATAAATAATGGTGCAAGCAGCCAAACAGCAACACAAGTTAATATTGATGGGATACAACTTGCTGTTGCGACGGAATTCAGCTGCGTACTCACTCCACATGAGCCACATTACTGCACTGATCAGTAGGACTACTGCTATGCCGCTTGTGATGAAGATCTGTTATGGAAAGATATATTTTTTACATTTTCAACGTCAGGTTTTTTTTTTTTGGTAACAGAAATGAATTATTGGTGCCTCTTTTTCCTACACCTCATTATCTAGATGAAAAAGAAAAAATATCAATCAACGAAAGAGTAATACTGTATTTTTCCTCTCACCAATCACCCTTAGATATTCTTACGAATATCCGACTACTGAATAAGGGACAAATTAACTCACCAGGATCATCCATTCATTTCTTACTCCGTGACAGTTGTTGAATCCGTACAAGTACGTTACACTGTCTATAATGTTATGTTCCTTCAGATCTGCATCAGCCAAGGAATCATCAGGTAGATCTGGCTCAATGTCTACCTTGTTGTCTGCGTTCTTACTTATAACTGAAAAGAAAACGTTAATAGTGACTGTCTAAATGACATTTGTTTGTTTAAAAAATGTTATTGCGATTCAATTCTGGGTTTGTATCTTCTACAATATTAATTGTTTTCTCTCTAATTAGAGTCAGTCAGTCAGGACTATTACAGGAACTAGCTAGTTTAAAAAAGCCTTTACCCAAAACCCCATGCTTTGAAGTTTAAGATCAGATGAAGAAGCCCTTATGGCGCTTCTACTTTAAATGAATAATCGTTTCCGAACACTTCAGCGAAATTTTGATAAGTATTGTCAATATCATATTTTAATGCTATACTACAACTACTTACCCTGATTACTCCGCGCCACAAACTCCGGGTTAGGATACAACTGAGGATTGTCATCATAAATGGAAGACGTAAAATTGGAGACAACTCCTCCGTACTCCGTATCATACGAAGTTATGTCATAATCAGATCGATCATCGGACCTTGGGTAGGTAGACTTGTGATATCGAATGGATACCGGTTGGAAAGAGCGGTATGATGGCTTCGACTTGAAGTATCCATCGTCACCCAGTCTTCGGAGGTGATGAGAACTTTTGTTTTGGGACCCTGGAATTATTTTCAATATCAAAGTACGTTCGCGTTCTTTGTAATAACTCGTTTGTCCTGTATTTATTGTTTGTGTCATTCGTCCTTAATTGTCAGATCAACAAGGTATTATAGGATAAATATGTGAAAACAAATAAATAATATGTGAAAACTCGAAGAAACAAACTGCAGTTCTCTGGTGTGCATTTAGCTTAGTGTTTGTAATAAATGACAAAGTAATACAAAGGACTCATAAATAATTGCCGAAAAGTGCTAATTAATATACTCCATACGCCTCTGTTTATCCCCTTTGAAGCCCCCTGAATTGAAAGGATGATGTTTTTATTGTATTGTAGTTTATGTTAACGAAAGCTACATTTCTATTTTTGTTTGTTAAAAAAACCACAAATACATGCCAGAATAATGTAAACAACAAAGAACAAAGTTAATTCATAAAAAAGAAACAATATATCAAGCCCTATTATTTACTTTTTATTTTCGTGGCAGGTCAGAGAGGTCACGTCAAGCAATAATGTTAATTAACTGTGGCGATGTTATCACATAACTTTCTAACAAGCCAATTAGTGCTTTTTAATTGCATACTACACATCTAGTAGATTAACATGAGTGAAACCAAGGTCAATTAAAGTACCAACTCGTAGGGTATGTTTATTTATGAGTTGTATAAACAAATAAAATATACCTAATTTGAACAAATGCATTTCAAATTACAGATGTAACAATTTCTTACCATTGGCATCTGCATCAAATAATTGTAAACTTAATATCAAAGAAAATATTAATTTAAAAACACATGACTGCATGTTGATATTATTTTCTTTCGCTTACACTGAAAAACTAATCGATCTAAACCACTTTTTATATTTTCTCTAAAGGAAATCAATTATTTCCATATTTTAATCCACTTCTTATGTTGTTAATAAGTTGTATCTATTTAATTATTTAGCTGCGATAAACGCCAGCCATTTTCACAATTACCGCGGAAAATCGATACAGTGGTAACGATCCTTTACACTGAAAGCAATGAAATTTTATTACAGTATGAAACTGGACATATTTGAAAATATTTTAATAGTGTACCTATGATATTCAGGGAATATTTGCTCTTGGAAAATTTTATCCTAATGTTATGTGATTATGTCTATTTTTCATTCCAAGTTTCATTTAAAATCTGAATTCTACGAACTCTTCTATTAAGCTGTAAAAGGTAGAAAATAGTTTTGCAAACACTGCAACACTCAGTTATGTAATGTCAAGATCGCGTTCCAGATTAATGCCAGATTGTCAACTATGTTTTATTTCTATCTCTTTCCGCCAAGATTAACTTGATCTCCCTTTCCTGCTCTGATGTTTTTCAATCAGATTTTTATGTTTATTTACCATAAACTCGCGACCTAGGCACACCTGTCACATTCACAACAAATTCAAAAACGCAATAGAAATGTAACCAAAAATAGATACAAAAATGAGTGCAATATTAAAATTTATTCGTGAAAACCATATACTGGCCCTTATTGAACAGGCTATAGTCAAAAAGAAATCCCGGCTGAGTTTGAACGCGTACGAAATCATTGAAATCCCGGATTTGCTTTACACCTGTTCCGATGTCGAACATTTGTATTTGCATAGAAATAAAATAACAGTGGTCCCTCAGGAAATAACACAGCTAGTGAACCTAACTACGTTGACGCTAGATTATAATAATATAACTCATCTTCCGCCGGAGATTGGTAACTTAAAAAACTTGGTGAATTTGAACATCAGCTACAATCCTCTAAAGGTTTTGATCCCGGAAATTGGTGAACTTGAAAATTTGGAGGCGTTCTGGTGCAACAAAATACAACTGCGGGAGATTCCCAAGGAAATAGGGAAGTTGGAAAAACTAGACACGTTCGGCGCGCGGGGAAATGAGCTGGTTGCTCTACCTGAGGAAATCACCAAGTTATCTAAATTACGGTAAGTGCAAGTGCATTAATCAATTTTGTTTTTTTTTTCATTGTAAGTGTAGACTTTTATTTAATCACTGAACTTGTATTTAGCACAATCATAATCTTCTCTACATTATTTTTTTATATTTTGTCCTAGAAAAGAAAATAATTAGAAAAAAAGTAAGTAATAGATAAATTATGTTTTTTTTAGTTCCACATATTTAGGCACAAGCAATGACCTCATACAGTATCTCATTAAATAATTACCAACCTCCTTGCCTATACTTAGTTCAAGGTTTTGGTACAGAAAAAAGATGGAACCTTGAATTTGGCCTTAAAAGTTTTTATCTATGATTTGTTAATATCTACTTTGACTTACAATGATTGGGCTCAAAGTCAAACAAGTTGTATGTTGACTAAATCCAGATACAACCTTGACTTCAATTTTGAACACAGATTTATTTTATGTGTTTTCTTTTTTATTACTAAGTTATGGGTTTGAGTCTGCCAATTATCTATAACATTAACATTACATCAGACCTTTAATCTGCAAAGGGGTAAGCAGACATGCACATTTATGTGGATTTTAACTCCTATGTAATATGAGGTCAGCTTATTGCCACACATTATTATTATCTAGAATGTGCCCACCGTTGAACAAAGGCTCTTCGCCCAAGACCATAATACCCACACTTGACTAGAGCAGGAGTCTTGCAAATTGCATTTACATCATTATCAAATTTTAGAAGAAGCTGCCGACTTCCTCTTTATAACTGGTTATTGCACCAACACAAGAGGAACTAAGCATAAAGTTTATAATATTTATTTCAGATGGCTTACGCTAGAGAACAACTTTATAGAAACACTACCAGAGACCATGGACTGTATGGATTCCCTAGTCCACTGCAATTTGAAGAACAATAAGGTTAAGGAGTTCCCTGTGTCTATACTCAAGTGTCCGGATCTTATGTTTCTGCAGCTAAATAATAATCAGGTATTTATTTGTAGTTTAAGAGTTAGGTACAAAAGCATTTTATACAGGTAAGTTATGCTAGTGTTTGCTTGCGACTTTAAAGGTGATAAAAAAGTATGCCAGTTTTTTAATATCGTTATGTTACATTACACTCGAAATACACCTGGCAAAAAGATAATTAGAACTTTGAATTCATAATTAAATCTCAAAAAGTACTTCATGGATTTACCTCAAATTCTTTTTGATTATTACTAATAGGTTGGGTCAACATATAGGCCACATATTATCACGCTATCACCTACGGGGTATGCGCAGTAAATCACTATTCCACGCGAACGAAGTCGCGGGCACAGTTAGTAATTAATAAACCCAAAAACCTTAGTCCCTTTCGGCGATTAAGACCAAATCTATCTTTGGTACGTAGCCATAATCAAGAATACATGTAACGTGACTGAGACTTATTGTCCACGTAAACCGTACTTCATGCACACGCTTTCATTAATTGACGAATGCAAGACGCATGCTTGCATCTTTACATACAAACAATCAAAACTGTGCCTTTTTTTTTAAGGGGGGTTCCACCCCGTTCCTTCTCCTGCACGTCGAGTCGGAGCCCCGGTTACCCGTTAGGTTCTCCGCGACAAACTGTGCCCTTAAGGCGGCACTGACTCCTCATTCAAGTCCGCTTATCATGATTTTTAGTTTGTATGCATTATGCATGAACAGTTCTACGACGTCAGTTCTCGTCATTTGACGACGCCTACTAAGGCGACAAAATATAAAAAAAACATAACTATAATAATCATCCATACATTACGTCACACAAATTTCATGATTTTTTGTGTCTCCCCCCGTCCCCGTCACAGTTGGTCATATTTGTGAAACTCCCCTACCCCCTTCCTAGTGTGACTTTGGCTTTTCAAAATATTTTAAAAATTATTGAATAAAAAATAATACTAGGTACCTAATTAAAAAATTGGATATTATTGAGAGTTTTCCGTAAATTAATAGTTTAAAGTTTGTGTTTTAACACAGACGTGTGACATCACGAAGATTAGGATCCCTCCCTCCCCCTTAACTCGTCGAGTACCGTCATTATAGACACAATTATAGAACAATAGGTTGCGGTCACCGGTGACCGCTTGGTGTTTGACAGTTTAACGTGTGACGTAATTAATGGATGGCCCTAACTAGACTCTAGACATCCAAATGACCTTCAAGCGACAATGACAATAACATTCCGTCCTAGCTACCTACCAGTGTATTATAATATGTTTATAGCTTGCACTTATATCTTCCGCATATAGATTTGTGTAGGTGATAAGTAGCTTAATTACCTTCTTTATTGTATCAATCGTAGTGGTCAGTTTCCATTAGATTATAAGTTAGCGAGAACTCATTTAGTTTCTCGACGGGTTGTGCAGAAATGCACCCACTTTTCACTATATAGTTTTATGCAATCGTCGCTGATCGCTTACTATCAGGTGATCGTTCTGTTCGTTGATTCCTATTTCATAAAAATGACATGCACACAACAGACACTACTGGATTATTGGCCTCCTCTAAATAAGAGGTTTTAATAGAATCTCCTTGCTTGGTAGCCAGTTAAAAAGGGTAAGCTTTGTTAGAGATTACTGCTGCTCGGTCTCTGTGAAAAGTATACTTCCTTAGTCTTATTTTATGGAATAAACCGGTTAACGAGCAGACGGATCACCTGATGGTAAGCAATCGGCGCCGCCCATGGACATCTGAAACACCGGACGCGTGACCGGCCTTTTGGGGATTGGGAATTTAAGGATTGTTGGCGATTGGAGAGATTAGGGAGGGAGTAATTGGGCCTTCGGTAATTATAGCCTACTATAGCCTTTCTCGATAAATGCACTATCCAACACAAAAAGAATTATTCAAATTGGACCTGTAGTTTCGGAGATTAGCGCGTTTAAACAAGCAAACAAACTCTTCAGTTTTATTTAATAGTATAAGATAAGATACTATTAAAAAGTCTATAAAAATCTACAATACATAAAGATGGTTTTTAGAAATATGAAAATTACATCTATGACAATTATAAATTGCAAATCGTAGTAGTATCATTAAAGAATGTCTTGTAATTGAAAACAATGACCTTTTATTACAAAACAATGAAGTTGCGGGCTGGTGAGAAATCAATATTTTTCGTAACACAAGAATCGTATAACAATATTATCTAAACATAGTTATAATATGCTATTATATACTTGTAATATGCTGTTTGTACTTGGTGATCTTTGGGCTTGCCTGGCCCACGGCTGGAGGAGTTATTTGATGGGTCAAACAAAATGCGAAGTAAAGAGCTTTTTCCGTAATAACACGGGTGCAGGTATACATATAGCAGGTTCACCCCCCGGACGATGGGACTTATAAACAAACAAGACAAAACATATTTTTTTAACTGAGACTCGAATCTATTATGGTACTTTTAGATACATATAAATTCACTAGCGGACCCGACAAACGTTGTCCTGCATATTCACTTGAATGTATAAACAAAAATTCATTCAAATTCGTTTAGCCGTTTAGAATAAATAACCAAGACACTGACTGCAGCGCCATCTGCCAGGCTGATTTGTGAATCTAAACCATTCCCAGATCCCCTTGAACACACACAAAAAATTTCATCAAAATCGGTCTAGTCGTTTGAGAGAAGTTCAGTGACATACACACTCACAGAAGAATTATATATATACAGATATACATATTACAACCAGACCCTGAACAACCCGAGCGTCCGGCGCGTTGCGATCTGCGCGCGCCTCAAAGAGCCATCAGACCACCACAGAAGGGGTCAAAGTCAAAGGTTACCGGGACTCCGGATCGAGTAGGAACGGTGTGGTTTTTAGTTCGTAACAGTTTGACAATTCTTCTCGCCACCCGGGCGGGAGAAGTCATTCGATGATTTTCAACCCTTTAAAAAAAACCCGGTCCAACAATTGTGTATCACACAAAATGTGGTTCCATCAACCGTGCAGTCAAAATAGTATGTTTATTATTACGTTGTATTTCTTCGGAAAATAAAATGCGCATTATGTTATGTAAACATGACCGTAACACATAATATCGGTGTTATGTACATAAAGCAATATAGGTACATACAGAAGTACAATGACACGTTTTTATTATTACACACTATCGCCCTGTTTATTTTGACAAACAATTCATTTTGTTGACTTTCCTTAGTAGACCTAATGAACAACTGTACTGCTTGTTTATATGTTTTAATTAGCCCTAGGCGGCCTAGGCCCTAGGTATGTGTTAGGCCCTAGGTATATGTTTTAATTGGCCCTAGGCGGCCTAGGCCCTAGGTATGTGTTAGGCCCTAGGTATATGTTTAATTTGGCCCTAGGCGGCCTAGGCCCTAGGTATGTGTTAGGCCCTAGGTATATGTTTAATTTGGCCCTAGGCGGCCTAGGCCCTAGGTATGTGTTAGGCCCTAGGTATATGTTTTAATTGGCCCTAGGCGGCCTAAACCCTAGGTGTGTGTTAGGTCCTAGGTTATGTTTTAATTGGCCCTGGGCCCTAGGTATGTAATGTGTTAAAACTACGAGCAGTAGTGTCTCCTAAGCTATCGATGGCTTAATCTCTTATTAGACAAAAACAACTTGTTTTTGTCTAATAACCCATTGATGATAAGCACAAATCCTGGATTCATTCACAGCGAGTTACAGCAAGAATACAGCCTGCTGACAGTTGAATGACACTTGATCCCTTTTTACCCTTTGTGTGACATCCTAAAAACCCATCATCAGTTTATTCCCGATACAGGAATTCTTAAAATCAACTGAGTATTTAATTATTTGAAGTTATATTTGATTGTATGTATTTTTATTTATTTCACAGATATCGTATCTCCCAGCAGACTTCGACACTTCTTACCTTTCCGTTCTGGAGATGATCGACCTTCGCCAAAACCCGATATGCGAACTATCTCATCCTGTAAGTATAAAATCATAACGTTTCACTGGTATACTTTGGTATGAAACTTTGACATAATAAATGATGACTTGACAATAAACCTGAGTGTGAGTTTTA